CCAACTCATTTTTCAAGACTCTTTCAAATATATCCTCTTTTCTGAGACTCCTCTCAGCAATCCCTGCCTCTTTTAATTTTGTATCCTATATCACCCAAAAGATATTTAGTGTATATATATTAAAATGCATTAAAAGTTGTAAGAGCAGTATAGACTTATTACTTTAAAAGCCACCTTATTAAAAAGCTAATACTTGAGAGCTCTGTATATTCTGAATGAAGGATGGACTAAATCACACAGACAGAAATGATTGTTAACCATTTTACTCCAGACAACTAAATAGTCCTTCCATAGCTTCAGTCTGTTTAAGATAAAAAACACATGCGTTTTTTATCTTAAACAGACTCTGGAAAATCCTATTTACTCACTTTTAGCAGCAAATCAAGTCCCCCAGCCAGTGAGGCAGTTCTAACCACTGCCCTACCTCTTTCAGCAAGAACGAGCCCTAGATTTCTTTTCTGTTTCTAAAAATATGCAGTTTTTAAATATATCCATCATTTTGGTGTTCTCTCTGCAGAGCTTAATAAAAGCAAAACTATTGAAATTCAGGAGATGTCACAGCTCAAAGTACTCCTTGTGTCAAGAAAGAGTGTCTGACCATGACTGATGGCATAATTTCCCTATAGAATAACAGTTTTGTCCCACAACAAAGAAACATACACAAAAACATACCATTCTCACAAATAAGATCTTGTGTGTTTTAGCTAGAATGACAACAGTTATCTTTGTGTATATTTTCTAAGAATGAAATACCACTGTCACTAAAATGATGATTTATCTTCATTAAAAAATCTTTTGCAGTCATGTTCGCATCTAATAGCTTGCTGAGCTATATATACCCTGACACCTAAATAACCCAATCCCCTTTATCTTAAATTCTGGTCTCATGCCAAGGTCCAATGTCTGGTTCAGTTCCCTCATTTGAGACAGACTCAGTCAACAACAGGCCCTACAGGAAATGGTGCTGATGCTATGCTGGAAGCCCAAGTTGCCTGTTTTAACCTACACCAAAAAACCCTCGGGCAACTAGTACAAGTCAATCATTCACCAAATCCCAACTCTAAACTTCACTCAATGTCCTTAAACTCCCCTTGTGGTTGCTCAGAGATCAATGATTAGCTGTCACCACCTCACAGGAATCCAGCACACTCCTGTTTCTCAAAAGGGGCCCTTAAATTGAGCACTCCACTGCTCAGGTGGAACCGGCCAAATTTTAATAGCTGTTATGTACAACTGTAAGACTCAAAGAGAGGGTTTCTGCAATGGAGAGTTTTGCACTAGATCACTGGAATCCTAGGGAATAAAAGATTTTCTGTGAACCCATTATCTTATCTTATTATATGCCAGACTCCAAAAGAAGGGGAATTATGAAACCAAATGACTCAATGCTGGTAGAAACAAAGGCAGGGCCTTCTGGCCTTCTTCATAAACACTCTGTCTTGCTGGGAAATGGTGATGAAAGCCAACAACAGACATGAGATCCTGGAGAACTCAATACCTGAGCCAGACCCTGAAGTGGAGAGATCGTAGACAAGATCCTGGAGCGTCTTGTCTTTGGAGAGACACATCTCACATGAGGGATCCTCCATATCCAGTCTCTGGCGGTTGTGATAGACACGCTGATGATAGTTAATGACAAGGAAAACAATGATGATGATGAGAAATAGAAGGAACACTGGGCCGGCAATAATGCCTACCAGCTCCACAGGGCCCCACATGGAAGAGTGCTCAGGCTCCTTGAGGTGACCTGGGTCAAGTGAGAGAAGGGAGGGAAAGAACAAGAGTGAAAACAAGGGAAAGCCATGGCCTTACTTATCCCCAGCATCTACCCCAAAGTGACAGACACTCCCTTCCCTCTGGATGTGTTCAGGTTCTCCTGCTCTCTCTGGTCTTACTGGGTCTGTCTATCTGCCCAGATGCTCTCAGATGCCAGACTCCTTCAGTTAAGGTGCTTCTTTCAATCCACAACCCACTTTGCCATTTCACAGCATTTCATGGTACTGTCCCCACCTCAGGCCACCAACAGATGCCAGCTCCTACCCTTCAACTTACCATAGCTCCTCTAAGCTCTCTTCTAGTCTCTCCCTCCTTTGAGCCCCACAGTGATACCTTCTAAATGGTGGACTGGCAAAGAGATGGTATATGGTATTCTTTAGTCTTCATCACTGTCCTTTTCCTATTCTAGCGCCTCCTCACACCTGGCCATCACCCTCCCCTTCACATGGCCCTGGGGCCATCTTCTAGATCAGTCCCATACCCTCCTGTGGCACCCCTGTGCTTAGTCCTTTCACTCTTCACCACTGCTGAGGTTACCCAGCCAGTACCCAGAATAAGCCAGCAGCCCCAGAACTGACTTGAACATCTGCCTCCCTCATCCTTTAATCTGCAAAACTGACCTGGAGGAACCCCGTCCCTTGTCACCTAGGGAACATCCAAAGGCACTTTCACTATCATCAAACCAAGGGATTGGGGTAGAATAGAGAAGTGTGAAACGACGGGGGTGCCCTACCTCCAAGATGAGCCAATAGTCCAACAAGGGCGTCCACTCACCACTGGGCACCCTCAGGTCGATCTTGTTGCAGAAGTCAGTATAGCAGCAGTGTGTGTTGCGCAGATCCTCCGAGCTCAGGCAGTAGAAGGGCTTCCCGGCGGGGACCAGTTCCACTTTGGGGATGCAGGTGCGCACATGATGCTCCATCCCATCCAGGTTGAAAATGGAAACCATGCAGGCCCCATCTGTTTCACATGTGTAGTTGGCCTGTAGGCAGCTGGTGCACGCACACTGTAGAGCTGCAGGGAATTTGGGAGCAGACATTGACATTGATGGTGAGATCTTTTCCAGGTCCTTTTCCAAACTTAGAATCTAATCCCTTAGCATACATGATGTTCCAAAATAAGGAGCCTTTATAGAGATGAGGCCAGAAAGACATCTTCAACTGGGATGCATCTTTCACCTGTTCATTCGGCTCACAAGTAAGGCTTTCGCAGCATTCGCAGCACCGCCATTTCCGCTACAGTGCTCTAATTTATGCTTCTGAGAGATAAAGGAACTCCTTTTTCTTCAAACTGAGATGCCTGATAGGAGGAAGCCATCTTCCCTTTGGACAATACAGGACCCCACACCCCTACACACACTCCATGCAAAGCGGCCTAGGGTGCCTTGGAGCCATCACCAATCCCATCTTCTGCAGGCACCAGGCCTGCCTGCAGCTTCCAGAATGCAATGTGCGTGCTCTCACACATGCTGCTGCTGCAATGCTTTTTTTCTGCCTTATTCTTACAAATCCTTCAAAATTCAACTCAAATGTCACTTCCTTTGAAAAGCTTCCCCTGACTAGTCCATTATTACCCTCCTGCCTTTAGTCGACTGCTCCTCCCATGAAAGACAAAAAGGATCTCCTCCTCCAAAGACAAGAATTTGGGTGCCTATTTCATAAACTTACTGTGAGGACTAAGTGAGGTAATGCAACAACAACAACCAAAAAAGTGCTCATTAAGTTTAACCCACTCCCAAAAGGCCCCTAAATAGCAGACACACATACAGAAAAAAAATTTTTTTTCAAGTAGTTTACACAATCACCTCTGGGACTAATAAGTTTTACTAAGTATGTATCATACCTAAGTGTGTCCTACTTGACAGGAAATTACTGTAAATGAATTTGGCGCCTCTGAAAGCCTGTTCAGCAGCCCTGGAATCTGAAATCCTTTATTTATCTAACAAGAATAGCGCAGACAGCAGCAGTTGGTTCTCTCCAACACTGTCTCCCATGAGACTAACCTAGCCCTGACCTCTTGGGATGGGCAGGAGTGTAGCTCTGGCCACCAGAACACTGAGGCTGGGACTCGCAGTGCTGACTGCAGCATTCACCATCGGGAGATGGAGGTGCTGGGGCCCACCCAACCCCAGACTGCACACTAAGTGAACGCTATCTGGATGTCAAGTGGGAATAAGCTCCCACTAAACCCCTAGAAAAGAGATATTTATGACCAGTCCCATGAAAAGCTACCCTGCCATAACGCGCCCATTCAGGCTGTAAATAGTCTATCTTCGTCTCCTCCTCCAATACTCTGGAAGGCATCTCTTGGCTATCAAACTCAAAGACAGATTCTAAATATCTCCACAACCAACTCTTTCCTCAGGCTTTCTATAAATGAGACAACCCCTTGCTATTCCCACATCCTCCCTCCAAAAACAAAGGAGAGACAGCACTGACAGCAGACAAGAAGGTGAAGGTCCTCACTTTATGGCCTGTTGTATTTTTTCATACTTGATCAGATGGAGAAATTTCAAAACATGAAGCTACCTGCTGAAGAGTATGGGTAGTGTTATTTATTAAAGGCAGAAAGTTAAAGTAGACACCTGTTAGACTAGGATCTAAACTGTACAAAGGATTTTTAAAAATAAATTTCTCCTGAAGTTCAGTTCTAATCCTTGTACACAAGAAAGACTAGGTAACCTCATTTTTCCTCCCCAAACCTTTATCTGCTCCTTCTTTTATTCTTTTTGCTTTTAAATATACTTCTGCAATTCTCCAAATACTTGCATCTTTTACTCATGCTGGAATCCTATTAATACAAGACAGCTAACTCCCATTCCTGTGTCAGTGGGGGCAATCAGGCACAGAAGGGGTCCCCATGGACAGCATATCTTTCGATACACATGTTGTGATGTCCAGTAAAGAGAACAGCATTGGGTCTATTTTGAGAAGCAAGAAAGAGAAAATTAACAACTTCAAGAGAGAACTATTCTGAGCACAGTGAGACACCCAGGGCCAAACCCACAGTTGCCTTTCAGAAAAGAGCTCACTTCAGAGTCCACCAATTAGTGGGGCAGAATAGGCAGGAGCCTCCGATTCCAGATATTTATGCTCCTTTCCTTGGTTCACGGCCTCTTTCACAGTGATTCATTCTGGAGAATGAACACACCCACACGTGGCTCATTATTTTTGGGAAGTACTTAAACAATCTTGGTGTAAGACAGGAAAGAACAAAAGTGGTGAAATCTATGCTAGACAGGATGAAGAACGGAACTGGGGGCTGGGCCATGTGGGTTTGTGATAAGGAACTGGGTGAGTTCCTGAGCCTATCTGGGCCTCAACTGCCCAGCTGGAAAACACCATACATCTTACAGAAATGGTTGAAGATTAGCTAACCATCTATTAAGTGCTGTGGGTCCTCTGAGAAAGGCTCACCCTACATATATCTGTATATTTACAGATGAGTGAAAAGTGTGAGAAAGATATATTTTTAAGATAATCATCACTGCTGTCCACACCCCTGAAACAGTTTGAATTGGCCATCTCCAGGAGCCATACCAGGTATCATGGGACCGGGAAAGGTCCAAATACCAGCTCTAATACTAGTCACATGACCTAGATCAAGTTACTAACCTTCTTGTACCCCAGTTTTCTTTCTTTCTTTCTTTTAAGACAGAGTCTCGCTCTGTCACCCTGGATAGAGTACCCTGGCATCACAGCAACCTCAAACTCCTAGGCTTTAGCAATCCTCTTACCTCTGCCTCCCGAGTAGCTGGGACTACAGGTGCCAGCTACAACACCCAGCTAGTATTTCGGGGTTTTTGGTTGTTTTTTTTCTTTTTCCTATTTTTGTAGAGATGGGGTCTCATTCTTGCTCCAGCTGGTCTTGAACTCCCAAGCTCAAGCAATCCACCCTGCTCAGCCTCCCAGAGTGCTGGGATTATAGGCATGAGCCACCCTGCCCAGCCATCTGCTGGTTTCCTAATTTGTAAAGTAGAAGTGTTAATAACTACAGTCATATATTACTTAATGATGGGGACATATTCTGAGAAATGCAATGTTAGGCAATTTTGTTGCTGTGTGACCCTCACAGAGTGTGTTTGTACACAGACCCAGGTAGGTAGACTACTACACACACAGGCTATTTGGTAGAGCCTATTGCCCCTAGGCTACCAACCTGTACAGGATGTTACTGTGCTGAATACTGTAGGCAACCATAACACATGGTTAAGTATCTGTGTACCTAAACATAGAAAAGGTACAGTAAAAATACTGTGTTATAATCTCATGGGACCACTGTCATACACGTGGGTCCACTGTTGCTAAACGTCATGTGGTGCCTTGACTATAGTTCAAAAGACTGTATAAGAATTACATGAAATAGTAATTCTTAAAATAGTAATTTTAAAAGTACTTAACAAATAAGTGTTCAATACATATTCATTTCTCCTCTCAATGTAAGACCTAAAAACAAAACAAAACAATACCACCCACTAATTAGGAAGTAGCAAGTTTCAGCAAGAAATTACAGTTCAAGTCTCAGCTTTGCCAGTAACTAGTCTCATGGCTCCAGGCAAGTTACTTAACCTCTTCTCAACCTCATTTTCCTCATGATTAACCAGAAAGAAGAGAATGAACTAAATGACCTCTATAATCCTTTCCAGCTGTAAGTTTGAATCTAGTTTTCTTTTTAAATTCACAATGTTTTGCATCATTGATCCAGCAAGGGAACGATTCCGCTTTGTCTTACATACTTTTTCCTTCTTTTTTTGTTTTTTTGTTTTTTTTTTTTTTTTTGAGACAGTCTCATTCAGAGTGCCATGGCATCATAGCTCACAGCAACCTCAAACTTTCCAGCTCAAGTGATGCTCCTGCCTCAATCTCCTGAGTAGCTGGGACTACCAGCGCCTGCCACAACGCTCTGCTATTTTTAGAGACAGGGTGTTACTCTTGCTCAGGCTGGTCTCAAATTCCTGAGCTCAGGCAATCCACCCACCTCAGCCTCTCAGAGTGCTAGGATTATAGTTGTGAGCCACTGCGCCCAGCCTCTTTTCAGAAATTTTTTCTTTTTTGTTTTTTTAAAGAGAGCAGGTATCATTCTACCACTCAGGCTGAAGTACAGTGGTGTGATCATAGCTCACAGTGACCTCAAATTCCTAGGCTCAAGAGATCCTCCTGCCTCACCATTCCAGATAGCTAGGATTAACCAGCAAGCATGACGATCATGCCTGGCTAATTTTTCTTATTTTTTGAAGAGACAGGGTCTCATTATATTGTCCAGGCTGGTTTCAAACTTCTGGCCTCAAGTGATCCTCCTGTCTTGGCTCCCCAAAGTGCTGGGATTACTGGAGTGAGCCACTGCTACCAGTGCCTAAAGATGGACACTTTGGCCAATCTTCTATTAATATTTCACTGAAACAAAATAAGTGATAACCAAATTATAAAAATATCTGAATTTACTATAAATTTAGTATACTAAATCAAAAACATTAAACTCAGTTCTTCGAAAAGCTAATCTGACTAATGACAACAGCTCCTTATCTATTTCATAGTGGCTCATCAGTTTAAAAAAGTCTATACACACATATACAAACAATACATACCTCAAACTCTCCTTATTCCACAATTGAAGAGTTACATAGTAGAAACACAATTTGGAAAACCAAATCACAGAAGTAACAAAATCATTCTACAGGCTCGGCGCCTATAGCTCAACCGGCTAAGGTGCCAGCCACATACACCTAAGGTGGCAGGTTCGAATCCCCAGCCCGGACCTGCCAAACAACAATGACG